TGTGTCATTATGTTATAATTGACGTTCAAAACATGACTCAGAACTTTTCATCCAAACGGAAAATTTTACCACTTCAATGCGCTTCATTGTAGGTCAAACTCTAAGGTCAAGGGGTCGAATTTGGTGGTACCTGATGAAAGGTCTTGTCACAAGAAATACACCTTTGGAATAAGCAGGAAAGCTTTTGAGTTTGAACAGTCCCCTCTCCCATGTCTTCAACCATGCATCTCGTTTTTTGCTTGTCAACAATTTTTAAGTGAAGAAAACAAGAATAGCTCTTGTCGTCCTCGATAAAATGTACAATGTACTGGTCTTCTCCTTTGTGAAGAAACCCCCTCTTCCTTTAGAATCAAATGGCCATCTCCTGAAAGAAATGTGCTAAAATGTTTGCTTGTCTAAAAAAATATTGGATTAAAATTTCTGATCTTGATCAATCTCAAAGTCTATTTGGGAATGGAAAATATTTGTCTTTTGATTCTATTCATTAACATTGAGTATGAAAATAACTATGGCATGTCAAACGTTGCAACATTCGATCTTTTCATTTGCATTGTATAGTTGTAACCCCTTGAGAAGTGGGAGGGTATAATATAGTGATATGTTCGTCCGTCCGTCTGTTACGCTTTGGGGTACTCATCTCTTACCCACAATTCCTCTCATATGCGCTGAATGAAATTTAATGAGACTTTCACAGATTCTAAATGTTACACAGTGCCATAATATACTTAAAGGAAAAAGAAACGCAGGGTAAAGTTTTGAGGTTAATTAAATTTGTTTTTCATAAAATATGTTTCATTTTTCCCATTTAACTTTTAAAATCATCCTTCAAAAAGATAAAACCAAATTCCCATTTGATTTTGTATAATAATTCATGAGTTATTGAATTTCAAATGACGATACCCCCCAAAAAGTGAAAATCGAAACTCTCATTATCTTCAATGTCTCTACCGTGCAACTCTAAGAGCTTTATTTCTCCTTTGCAAGGAATTTCATTAGTGTGTTTATCTTTCAAACCCTGGCTATATTTGGCATGGGTAACCACGCAAAAAATTAGCCTAACGGCGCGCGCATGCGCTTGTGAGAGGAATACAACAGTAAGTCGACTGGCTCAAAAAACCAAATTGCGGAATCGTTTTCTTTCAAATTTCGTATGAATGTAATGATTATAATCGTCCTCTGCTGTTTTTGTGGTAGTAAGGTGGCGATTTAAGAGATAGCAGGACGAATAACCCGCTCGTAACATGGCTCTGTTTCGCGTTAACGTCATCGTCACGGTTGATTGAAAACCATTCCAGAGCCTCTCTGACAACGGGTAACAAGTTTTATGGGGGAAAATTTACAAGAAACTGCTTAGTAAACCGTTGTTGCCCTTTTCATTAATTAGGCAATTCAAAAACAAGACAGGCGCGTAGCTGCCTATACGCAAGTACGCAAGTGCGTACACATCATTTTCAAAAATAATAATAATAAATAACATAAAATAAAGAGAGAGAGAGAGAGAGAGATTTATTCGGAGAAAAAGAGGCACTATCCGTGTTTCAAATTTTTTTGCGTCTTATTTCTTCGATTCAAATTTTGTTCAGCATGTCTGTAGAGTCAAATTTAGTCTTTTATAAAATCAATATCAAAAACATCTTTCAAAATTTTGAGGGAGAAAATATTGTTGAACCAAAATGTTCAACTGTTAATCGGCGTAATACTGATTATCTGGACAAATATTTGATATAAAAAATGTGATATAAGGGACTTTGATCTAAAGAAAAAGTTACAAGGGTCTTGGAAAAATATACAAAATTTTCAATTTCCGTTGAGGTATAATGAATAAATGTCGTTAAACAAAAATAGTTAAGTTTAAATTACGCTTAAGTAAATAATAATATAGATATGTACGAATATCTTCTTTTACTGATGTAACCAGTTTATTGAATTATAATTATTATTTAAGCATTATCACATTGTTTTAAGCAATCAGAATACATTCATTTTTAGTTAATCTAAAATAGAACCACCCCCCCCCTCCCCAACATCCCCGTTTATTTTTTTTTTTTTTTTTTTTTTGAAATATTTAAACTTCAAAGACACTGAAAACCATATGGAAATTACTTCTCTGTTTTATCTTCTCACACTTGGAAACTTTTTTTTCAGTACTTATATCTCCGTAAATTAATTTGATTAAATTATCGTTCTCCTCCTGAAGCATGTGAAGTATCCATGGAAGTATAACTTAGCAAAGTGCTTGGTCGAGAAAAGAGATGTAGCGTGATTTCTTTTGCGGGAAAATGACTGAAATTTTCGTAAAGTCCAGGAGCTCGCGGGGGCTTCGCCCCCTGGGCCCCCACCAGGGCTTCGCCCTAGACCAACTGGGGGCCTCAGGGCGGCCCCCAGACTCCTGACCGTCTAATGCGTACACTTCATTTCATGCTGGCTAGGCGCCTGCAAGACCCCAATGAACTTCCGTAAACTGTGCCAAGATTGCAAGAAATTCATAATGTCTCTTAATATTGAAAAACGATGTGCATACCTCATATGCATAAAAAAATGCACTAAGATGGGTACAGTAACTAAATTTCTCTTCCGACCAATTTTCGTAATTTCCGGTCATGTGGTCAAAAATTTTTCGAAAATTATGCTACCCTGCGTTTCTTTTCCTTTCAGTATATTATGAAATCTATTTTACTTTTAGATAGCCTGGCTCAACCACGTTACAACGCTATATTTGCTAATAAGATCATATTACGACCATGGAATTTACAAAACGCTGACTTTAAACGTGCTTTTTGAAATCCCTGTAACATCAACTTGTGTTAGAATAGCTTTCCTCAGTAAAAAAATTGGTCATACTCAGACCATGCTACTGAGAGGTGAATAAGTGGCGAGATATATATACTGAAAGGAAAAAGAAACGCAGGGTAGCATAATTGTCGATAAAAAATTGACCACATGACCGATAATTATGAAAATTGGTCAGATGGGAAATTTAGTTACTGTGCATCAAAATCAGTATTCAGAATTACTCAACCGTAAAATTTATGACGTCACGTAGGGAAAACGCTAAAAAGCCCAAAACACGTGCAATTTGATAACGACGTGTTTGTCCACAAATATTGTTGCATTATTTGATGCATATGAGGTATGCACATCGTTTTTCAATATTAAGAGACATTATGAATTTCTTGCAATCTTGGCACAGTTTACGGAAGTTCAATGGGGTCTTGTTTTCGAATTGCCTAATTAATGAAAAAGGCAACAACAGTTTACTAAGCAGTCTCAGCTCTTGTAAATAAAATGCAGTGAAAATGAATGATGTGTTCACTAAGTGGGCCCCTCATCTACTCATGAGGCGGGCCTTACCATGTATTTTACATTCAAAGACAGGTTTGTTTGTTTGTTGTTTAACGTCCCTTTTGAAAATTTATTCACTCACATGGAGACGCCAAGACACCTCCGAAACACTCTTAATTAGTCATGGTAAATTTTATTATCGAATTGTTTCAAGAGTAATATTTTGAAAGAAAATATTTGAATCACATTTGAAAAATCTTTTCAGTCGGCGCGATTTAATTGGGTCGGTCGCGTTAGGGGAAACAACGGTATTTATTTTGACCCCAGTTACCATTAATAAGTATACCTAAAAACTCATAAGAGGTGGGGTGCGGGTCACTGGTACTTGTGGACCGGAACCCGCACCCCCCCCCCCCCACCACACCCCGGTGTTCAACCCCGGGGCTTATGGGACATTTTTTTCACAAAGTACTGAGTATATTCATTACTCTTATTCATCATGTTTACAATAGGAAAAAATCGTAAAAACCCGAAAATAATCGCCCCACAAACAAATGCGATTATATTCGGGTTTTTACGATTTTTTCCTATTGTAAACATGATGAATAAGAGAAATAAATATTTGTGAAAAAAATGTCCAATAAGCCCCAGGGTTAAATATCGGAAGGGGGTGTCCTGTCCGCTTATAAGTACTTGTGGTGAGGGTATACATTGGTCGCATCTTGTAGTCTTTGTTAAATATAAGGATTTATTAGAGCACAAATGTTACAGAAGTTTTTTTTTTATTTTTTCTCAGTTAGTGCAAGAACATGCTCTGTGCATAAAGAATTTCTAAAATGAAATAAGTTATTGACAAACAAGTTATTGAAATCAATATATCAACAGTCGATCGAATTTTAAGACTCTTCGTTTCGAAAGTTCTATGTTCGATATATACATGTGCCCTCGTCAGCAAATAAAATCTATCATTAAGGCAAATGCTGACTGACTTTTTTAATTTATTTTTTATTTACGCATTGAATTGCCTATGGATATTTTCGTTATTTCCCGATCATGACAGGAGCACACACATGCCGGCTTGACCGGCTTGACCGGTCGGCAGGCGATGTTCACCCCTCCATTGCACTTTCAAATCCAACCTCTGATGTTTTAGAAGTCCTTGTTCGCTCTGCTCCTGATTTGTATTACTTGAATTGACTTTTGAGCTTGAATACTGTTCATTATTTCCATATATTTGTATATTTGGGTAGAAAAAGTTTAGCATAAAAAACGTTAGTATATCATAGATATACCTGAAACTTCATCTCTATATATAAGACATGATTTTAACTAACTCTAAATAGGAAACATAAAATGACATGAAAACAACTAATTGTGGGTACTAATTAAAAAAAGGAACATTCACCATAAACCCAACCCCCATTCACCCCCGGGCCCGAGCTTTCAATTTTTGGCCACTGAAGTTGTTTTTTTTTTTTTTTTTTTTTTTTTACATTTTTCTTTCTTGTCAAATTTCCGAGTTTTATTTGTTAAAAAGAATATATTAAAAAAGCAAATAAACAGTGTCCGTATGCATAGTTTAGATACTGGCGGCCTAATGAATTTAAAAATATGATATTTTTGTTCCATTTGTAATATGACTATATTTAGGTAACGGAAAATAACGAGATTTGCCGAATAATTTAACGAAGAGGAAGTCACATGGGCACTTCATCCAATCAATTTTAAGTTTACAAATACCATTGGTTCGGCATGCTTGACCTCGGAAGCAAAGCAAAACACGGCTGTCTACGATAAAAAAAATTCTTTTGGATCGCCAACTGTACACCTCTGCTAGATATATTTTATTATTCTGTCATGAAGCGGTAAGTAGCAATGCCTAGGTTTCTTCACAGTCTCTTAAAGAAGGAGAATGACTCGTTTTTGGATTCAGTGGGTTTTTCTTCATGTTCACTGTCGATTTGATGTCGACAGGTAGATTTGGTTTTCCACGCAGTAAAGGGTGAATGTTGGTAAGGATTTGATTGAATTTTGTTATGAGTAATTGGTGATTTGTGAGGAATTTTTGAAAAAATAGGTATCATGAAGACGTTGGCGGGACTCAAAATGGGTCTGTTTTATGAATGGTGGCAAACTGATGGGTCGTTTCAAAAGCCTAAAATTATACGAAGTATTTGTCAAATAATGAAGGTAGACCTAAACAAAAAGACTTTTCTGACAAACTTATAGAGGAACTTACAAAGTTCAACGTTATCACATTTGTTTGAAAAGTTAACAGTTTTAACTAAGTATTTAGCAAACATTTTGTTGTTTGCATGCGTCTATGTAGAAGTACGAGGACTCCGAATGACGCATCGGTGAAGTTGAAAAAAGTGAGGGGAGATGTCAAAATACAACCATTTATAAATCATGACGTACAATACATTTTTACAATATTGGAGCACCTTTCATAAATATTTATATATAATATATTTTTTAGAATTGTGATACGGAGTACATATTTCTTTGAATTGTCAAAACAATTTTCATTAAGAATAACATTGTACCCTTGTTTGCAGAAATGAGATTTTATTCTTTTCTACACTCTCGAATTTCGCTTATTATTGACTGTTAATTTTCTTTTTGAAATATGTGTCTGTTTTTAAAGCCATTCCAATATTTCGAGATCTTTTGAGTTTTCAGATTGATACTGATAAATACAAGTAACTGTACTTCCGATATTAAAAAAATATATATATATAGCAGGATTGTAAAGAATCTAGGGCTGTTCAATAAAATTGATAATTCGGAATATTGTGATAGGCCAACGAAAAATATCTTATTGCCATAATAATATATTTTTCTAATACCTTTTACCAACAGAGTGCTTGGGCTTTAGATTTCATAAATAATTGATATGAATTTAGTATGTCAGGAACACTTTCAACTGTGCCAAACGGTAAGTTTTAGTTCCAAAACTAGTGAAACCAGCAACACCTGTTTTGAAACACACTCTGCTTATAGATGGAGGTTAATAAAATTAGGAAGAGGGCCTTTGACGTTTCATTTAAAAATATCTCAATACGTTTTGCAATACCGAACAATTACAAATATCGCAATACGAAATTACCAGCAGAATCCCAGCCTTGCAGATTCTGAAAATTGGATGTTTATTGCAAATGATTTGTTTAAGTTATCTACTTTCAAATGTATAATGAAGGGATTTTAACAAGTTTGAATAATTTTAAACTAGTGAAAAATGCATTGCTTGAAAGTGATGAAAGTTAATCTTTCATGAACAAAATTTACAAGACTGATAACATAAGAAACTGGTCATATTGCACATTAAAAGGGTTTGAATAGGTAAATGCTCTTGATATAAAGATTTTTTTTTTTTATTTCTCAAAATGTCTGTGGTTTACAAAGATTTCACTTGGTCACTTGGTTACAGTGGCAATTTTTCTAATATGATTACCATTAGTATCTGTGTTAACATTGAATATATCATTATATTTCCTTCTGTATTGCTCATACTTTGAACAATATAGTGCAAAATATTTGTCATCTTTAATAAATGAAAAATAAGTTCTAATTCTTACTATGGTTTAAATAGACTTAGCTTGATGCCAAGACAATTTATGTATGATTATATAACATGTTATAAAGCCATGAATATGAATAAATATGATTAAAATATGAATAGATATGATTTAAATTAATTGTCTGATTGTTGAATTTTTAGGTAAACTCCTCTAAAACATGAGTAACAGAACTGCTGGAGAAAAAGAGGACCCCCCAGTGATATCCTCCACCCCCACAATCAGTATCCCGGGGCACGCTATACTCAGTCATTACCCAGAACTGCAAGTCAGTCTTATTGTCATTTTGTTTGATAAATCAACAGTTTGCCATTGACATTTTAAGAATATTTATATATTTTAATCCACGACATGTCCAAAACATGTCATGTATTTGTATGAAACAGTTCTTTGTTTTTAGAAATCAGCACTGATTATATTTAGGTGTTAAGATTGGTGATGCACTTTTTCCACATGGGATTCATTTAAAAATAAAAGGGGGGTGTATGTCACAGGGTATTTGGTATTTACAGCGCATGTAACATTTTTTTAGACTTGAAATAGCAATCTGAAAAAGATGTTTAATTTTATACCTGCAGATATATCTGAAACTTGACAATGGTAAATTTGATTTGTTGCCCCATGGAAAAAGTGTGAACAATACATTCTAGAAACACTACATTTTGCAAGTTTATGCATTTAATCATAGAAAAGTTTGAAATAAATAATGTATTTATTATTGGTATTATATAGGCTTTATAACATGTTCCTTACACAGGCAGCATCTAAATCATTGAACCAGCCAATGGTACCAATCAACCTGACAAGTGGTAAAACAGGAGATGGAGGGAGTCTAGCAGCCATTATCCCTCAAGGTAAGGAAGTCAAGCAGAAAGATCTAAAGTGTAAAAGATATGAAACAAAGGTTCTGAAAGTATAATGTTAATGAATCAGTATATAACAGAATAAGTTCTGTCACTCGATGTTGTTTGTGATATGGGAACACAATTATTGTTATAGCCTGTTATTGTTGTATTGCAAGGTGTAATGTATAATAAGTATACTATTTTTTGCTTGTCATGGTACTCAACACTTTCACAGGATGTGAAATAAGAACTGTGATCATTAAGTAAATTGTTACGCAAATATAATCATTCAATAATTTTAGAAAGACTCATTTAAAAAGTGAAGCATACTGTAAATGTATTAAAATTAGTGTGTATGATATTTAGTGGAAATTGATTTTTGAACAATTTAACATAGATTTAATTTTGTGGATTTTTAAAATTTCTGTTTTATGTATACATATGCAAGACATTTAGCTTTGTACTTGAATTAGCGGAAGTTTGTTTCTGCCAAAAGAGCTATAAAGGATACACAGCTAAATGTATCACGTGTACAGTATTTATCCCCAGATTTTAAAAAAATTTCCAATAATTTCAGCTTTATTGTCAGAAGTGCCGAGACCTGTAGCTAGTGTAGTCACCACTGCTGCCCCCTCAGCACCCTCCACTCTGCCCCTCATCAGCTCCTCCACCACCCCCACCATCCCTCAGGGTAGTATTGTCCAGATAAGCCCGGGGGCAGCTACCAATGTAAGCTCTATTCTGAGGGGAGGCAGCACTCAGCATCTAGGATTTCCCTCTCATCTTCCAAAAGGTTTGTGCTCAGGGTCCTTGCTAGGATTTTGCTTACTTGAACTGTAGGGAGGACTCAAGGTTTCTCAGAATGTTGAGTCCCAGCTAAGTTTCATGCTGCCAAGAAAAATTATTATTTTTAAGAGCACTGTGTCTCAAACAATTTTGCTGCATCTGTTATGTAGATTCCTGCATTGATAACAACCCTGTTGAATACAAATGTTTTCACACATTAATTAACAAACAAAATTTAAAAGAAATTTTAAAAATTGTAAGATTTTCATGTACATGTATGTACAGCTTTGCCAAGTTTTTCTTATGAAAGGTAATTTCCACAGGGCCTACATGTTCCTATTACTGTTGTAGGTCCTATGGCTGCAGCCTCGGCGTTTGCTGGGCCTAAGTCCATGACTGCCCTGCCTGTGGTGAGACACCCCACCGTCAGTCTTCAGAGTCCTGGAACAAAGGTTCAGACCTCCTCCCTCATCAAATCAACCACACCCCCGACGTCAAAATCTCCTACTCCAGGGGTAACTATTGCTGTCACTCAGGCCAGTGAAGGATCAAGGTATGGGCATTATCCCCCCTCCTTTAAAAAAATTACTCTGCCTCATTACTTGAGAAAGCTAAAATTAGTTGTATAATTTTTCAAACTCTTCATACTTTCAGTCTAATGTAGATCGAAAATGGAGACAAAGAATAATAGTGAAAAAAAAAATGAAGAGAGAAAACATAGTTAACAGCTATCAGATAGAGCAACATTGAACATAGCAATAATTTATTGGCAATGATGAATAAAGTCTTTAAAAATTTGTTTCTGAGTGAGGACTTTTTTTTTCAGCAGGACAAATGTAACAGTACCAAGCACAGTCTCGGCCCCACAGGGTAGCATTCAGATCACCTTACAGGCTCCCCGCCAAGCTGGGGAGGGGGTCTCCAAACCTCCCACGATACAGAGAACAATAGATGTTCCAAAGCCTCTCATCCAGGCCTTGAGAACAACTACAGTTGATACAGCTCCTAAAACGATAATCACGACTCAGGCCAGACCCTTAGGGGAATCAGCTGTGAAGTCCGTTATTGCGGGATCCCTACAGAGGTCCTTGGATGCTAAACAGCCCTTGAGGCCGTCGAGTGATCCAGTCATCAGACCCCCTAAAACTGTACATGTGCCACAGACTTCCACTTTCTCCGGGACTAAAGTGTTTGTGACTCAGACTTCAAATTCATCAGTGACTCCACATAATCTTGTGACAAATCCATTGAAGACTAATAAAGGTAATGAATGGGAGTGGTTTATTATCAAGTATTTTTAGATTTTCAACAATCTAAATCTCTTCTCATAAGGAATTGGAAACCCAAATATACTGAAATATATATTGTTTTTGGTAGGTGTAGTGTAACAGCTTTACATATGATTCCTCGTATGAATGTGTAAATACAATTTTGAATGAAAATGATATTTTGTGATATTTTTGAAATAATTTATATTAATTTTTTCTCAATTATACACTAAAAACGCTGGCAGATTAAAGCAGATTTCAGGACACGATATGCTGAGAGAACTAGGAAGTATATTTCAGGGATTAAAATGTTCCTACAAAGTCTCAGATTCTACTTTAAAATGTTGTTTTTCAGGCATCACTATCCCATCATCCTCATCTGCTGCTCTCTCTGCAGCTTTGTCATCAGTTACCACAACAGCCACAACCATTCCCATAGGTAAAACAATTTTCATTATGTATTATGTTGGGTTGCATCAAAACGAAAGAAAATAAATAAGATGCATATAATTATATATCAAATGTTACTGTATAATTATCTTTTTATCCCTCTTAGATTGAATTATTTTCATGAAAATGTGATCTACTGCAAGGTTTATCATCCTTTTATAGCAAAAGTACCCCCTGTGAGACAGCCCCCTTTGTCTCTGGCCCCGCACACTGTTAGCTCCACCCTTCCCCTCACCCCAAGCATCCTGGAGAGGCCCCGCCCAGAGTCCACCCACCCAGGGACGGCGCCCCCAGCCCACTCCACATCTACCGCCAGTGTATTCATGCCCCACCGGACCCAGCCCAGTACCTCTCATACAGCTCCATCAACTCTCACTCACCCAGAAAGGTACGCACTACAGAGAAATTAAAAATTACATGTCTCCTTTTAGAGATATTATTGTACCATACTTTCAAGAGAGGGACTTTAAATATCATTCCTGTGGATGTCTTTTAGTCTGTCTATCACTAAAACTTTAATCTTGGTCTTAATTTAGAATGAGAAAAGGTAAGACATTTCTATTTTACATGTAACAAGGTCTTCTCAAATGAACTATATGTACTCGGTGACCTTGCTTAAAATTATAGTAAAATTTTGGTCTCTGTATGTCTATGTATTACCATCTATTGATTGTTTAGTCTTTAGCTGATTTTCATGTTATATTTCAGGCCAGCCTTGTCCAGTCAGATTTATCCATACTTCATTCCTAATTCTTACTTGATGCAATATGAGATGCAGCAAGCCTTGGCAAATGCACAGCCAAATGTACATGCAATCCCTACGATATCTACTGCTTCTACCATTAGAACAGGACTTTGTAAGTAGAGTCTTCAAATTGAATTTTATAAATGAAAAACACAATATCCTGTTTGAGTGTAATAGTAATAAAATTTATCATGTTTGTCACACAGCTGATTAACAAATGAAATGAGTCTGATTGCTTGATTAAATAAATGCAGCAAAGGACCTTCTACATTTTATGATGTTGATATTTCAGTGCAAAATCAAACTCCCAATTTAGCGGCCTCATTACAAGCAGCACACACATTTTCTGGGACACCAGGGGCCGGCGTGCGATTTAATCAGTCTCAGCCTGTTGTAGTAACCATGGATACGATTCGAGCCCAGCAGGCACTGACTGGAAATCTTCCTTTCACGGGATCAACGACTGTTCCCGAGTCAACGGCGCGTCCCACCACCCCAACAGACAATATATCGACCCTGTCCTCAGCCACTGCAGCATCTATCCCTATTCCTGCACTCACAGTAATGGGACAGTGTAACCCTGCCCCGAATTATCCTTCAACTCCAGTTACACCCCAGAATTCTCAGCCCAACAGTAATACCCCAGTCAGTACCCCGAATGCTTCACCCAGACCAAGTATTCTCAGAAAGAGAACCAATGAAGGGTGAGTAATCTTTATTGATAAATGTTAAAGATTTCCTTTAGTTTTCTCTGTCAGAAAAAGCTTCTTGAAAAATTTGTAATATGTAATACAGTGATACACTTTAAATTTCTTTTACACACATTATAGACCTGTGAAGAAACCAGTGTGTGGTCTGAATACAATGGACAGACACAGTCCCCGCCCCGATTCCAGGACAGACTCTGCCCCGCAGTCCAACACTAGCTCTCCCAAAACTCCAGCTACTCCAGCAGGGTAGGAATTCAATAAATATTTTTGATTGAAGATGCATGTATATATGTATTATACCTTAATTTAAAAAATGAGAAAATGGAAAATAAAAGCAACAGAAAATGTATGTAACCTTATGATGTTCATCTGAACTATGTGTTGATGATAAACGATGCTTGTCTTTTGAAATAGGTATATTTACATGTGATTGAATTTGAATTTTAACAGGGAAAGTCAATCCTCCACTGATACAGCCTTGTCAAGTGAGGCCACTACACCAACTCAAAACAACATGGCTGAACTGAAGATAAAACAGGAACCCATGGATGGCCTCGAAAATGGTAAATACTGGGTAGAGATACTTTGTTATTTATTAAGCAGTTAACTGCATGTTCTGTTTGCAGTATTATTAATCCTGGATCAGTTGCTTGTAGATTATGGTATAAACTTTGTTGTTGTTTACAGGTTTGTCTGCAGCTATAACTAGCAGCATTGCTTCTTTGTCCAACTCTTTACCCAACAGTACAGATGCTTCTCCAAGGAAGAAACCAAGAAAACAGCTCTTGTAAGTTAGAACATGTTTATGTTGTAAATCTATAAATTATTGTGCTTAAAACTTGGTCTCATAGTAAAATTTGAAGTGGTAAAAAATAGTGTTGTTACGATAGTCGCCGACTATCGAAAAATCGTCGTTTAAAGGCCCAGATCGGCGACAATCGATTGTAAATATTGTCATCGATAGATCGCTATATTTATGAAGCCGCTCAGGTTTAACTTTTATATTCACCAAAGGGACGTCACTCTAATCTGTGGAAAACAAAATGGCGAACGTGCATGGTGAAGAGGTTGACGCCGAATTATATCCATATCCTGGTGCAAAAGTTTGGAGTTTTTTGACCTTCGGAAAAAGGGCGATTGGCCTCTATGCAAAAATAATTTACAGATGGACATGGTTATTTGTAAATTGTTTAAAAAGTCGTATGCCAGTCAAGATAAATTGAAGTTCACGGTCACATGTCAAGGAATTCTACTCGTGCTGAATGAATAAATTCAACCTTTTTAAATAGTTCAAATTATCGATTATATAATCGATTGTGTTCTTCCGATTCAATTTGATAATCGATAGTAAAATTTGTTCGATTTTACAACACTAGTAAAAAATTTGTTTGTAAGGAAATGTCAGTTATAAGGAATATTTTAGAAATCCTTTTGAAGGATTTCACTGAGTTTCTTTACGGGTATAAAGAATCTTTGTTTAAATAATGCCAAGTCTGAGGTCCTACTGAGTACTGACTTCCTTTATCCAATTTTAATGTATACTGTAATTGTAAAAATTGTGACAATTGGTCTCATTCATAAAATGTTTTACTTTTTCTCCAATAATTTATTTACTTTATGTGCCAAAGAATGTAAATATTTGGGGGAGATTTGTTTTCCTTTACTGACAACTTGTTCTTCTGATGTTTCAATGTCTGTCTCAGGAATGCTAACGAGGAGCTGAAGGACAGCGTGTCCTCAGACGAGGAGAAGGTGGCCGTGGAATCTGTAAAAGAGGAGGAGGACACCAATAACGAATACAGAGAAGGTACATAACTCTTATCAGATTTGATATAACATTACATTTTTCTAAAAAATATGATATAGTAAATCAGATCTTTCCAAGTGACTTTTTTTTATTCGTAAAATTATTCACGTTCACATATTTTTCAAGCACAATTAATTTACTGAAAAAGTCCTCTAAAGGTAGTGAGAATAAAAAGATAGATTTAATATAGTAACTATGTTTGCTCAAGATGAAATTAAATTAATCATGTAATATGGAATACATGTACATGTGTAAGTTGTTTCAAAAATTGATTTTACCATTATTTTTTTTCATTGCAGAGTATGTGGATGATGAGGGTGTGAGATGGACTGTAGAGAAATGTCGACCCAATATCTCCCTTATGAACTTTTATAATATATCATGGAAACCAAGGAATAATCATTTTAATAGACATACAGAAATTAAACCAAAAGGTATGCATTAAATCTCTCAATCTTTCTGTCATATTTTTAAAAGCTGCACTTACTTGTATGTATGTAGTGAAGAAACAGAGGACTATGTTTGAAAAAAAGTGTATTAAATTGAATATTACAGAAGAGCGACGCCCCACAGTGAATGAATTAGCCAATCAGAGAGGAGCTGCTCAGAAGGCCAGCGGCTGGAAGTTGTATCACATGGCAGCACAGATGGAAGATCTGGTGAGTTTTCATTTTTGGCATCCATAAAAAAAAAGGGGGAAATAGGTCAGAATTAAAATCAGTCAAGAAAAAGATTTTTTTTAATTTTTGAATACACATGTTATGTATATAGGTAGGGTTTTTTTTCCAAGGATAGGTGCTTCTAAGTCTATTGTACAGAAAAGATTTTTCGATTTAAAAAAAAAAAAATTATGTGTTTGGAAACATAATCATCGTGCATGTATACAGTATATGAAACATAAAGTGCATGCCCCATGATATATAAATTATTCTGCATTATTTCAGAATGATCTGGAGAAGACTTTATTAAGCAAATTATCATCAATTCAAACTGCTTTGTCCCCGCGTCCTCAGAATAGACTCACAGTGGTCTCCATGGAGGACGAACTGAGCATGATGCATGAGTTAACTCAGGTGAGTACCTGTCCGAGATCATCAATAACAGAATTGATTAGTTATTTTAGTCATATGTACACATGAGCCATTTCAGTTTTAGTTCACAGAAGTAATAAAAAAAAGGATGTAATGCTCTTTGTCATCAAATAAAAATATCTAGCAGGAAAAATTTAGAATCTCAGAAACATCTCACAAAATTTGACACCTCATGTTTCATATCTTCATACCTGTTCATAATATTTTAAAACATATTCAAAAACCTTTATTTTTAAAAAAAGTTTTCAAATTAGAAGTGTGCCTTCAGCACTTGATTTCCAAACACTTGCCTTTAGTCCTTCATACTAAATACTAATTCAAATACAAAGTTTTAACAGTGATGGTAAATTTCATTGTTCTTCATGCTCATAGAGAGAATTCAATATGACAGACATTTCAAGAATTTCGAATTGTTTAAGTTTGATCTTTTTGGCAGGCAAACATTCAAAGATGCAAACTTATTATGGATCAACTTGAAGAATCCAGAACGAACATGTTGAAAGTGCTAGATCATAAACAGAAAATATCCGAAATTATCAATAAACATGTTAGTAAGAGACCAATCAAAAAGAAGGAAAGATCATAGCATTGACCAATGATTGAAATTATACAAACTGACCAATCAGTGCATGACAAGTAGAATGCTGGAAGTATGTGATACAAATAGCAAGAACTGAACCTGACAGCTAATTTGTAGATGCTGCTTTGCATATATACTAAAACTTTATAATTGTTTCTGTTATGGGCATGTTTTAATGTTAGAAATATTGAACACTGGATTTCAGTTCTTAAGTTTAGTGACTGTGAGAGAGCCATGATGAAAGGAAAGATTGACCTTAATTATGTTCACGTCAAATGATAAATTTGAAGAAATTCAATCAGCCCTTGTCTACGGCAGTTCCCAGGGTTATCCATGTGTTATATTTGTTATGCATTTTTGAAAATTTGATAAGTTTTATTGTTTCATATTGAAATTCACTTGTTTCATTGTGAACAGTAGAATGTGTGTTTTCTGTATCATTTTATTTATTTCATCATTCAACATGTCAGATACATTTTATTTGTTACCAAAGAGTTGTGTGGAAAATGAGTTTTCAGAAAAAGCATTAAAGCTCTTTGACATTGTACAATTCATCTTTAGTAATGTATTATAAATTGAACAGGAAGCAAAGAATTCTTGATAAAAACTAGAAGGGATTTCTGGTTTACAAATTTTATTATTTAGGTGATTAACAAATGGTTGTTGGTCACATTCTCAGCTGAAAGTTGAAAAATTTGTTGTACATTTCATTTATCATACAAAATACAATAAATTATAAGTAAAGAATTTATAAGTTATTGATTCTTTTTACTCTGATGCTATTAGTTGATTATTTAGATGTGTGCTCAATCACCACATGTTGCCGGTATGACTCAGTGGTTAGAGCATCTGCTCCATAGTTGTGGATTAAGTAGATTGTTGGTTTGAATCCACTGTGGGACGTAGAGACTGGTCCTCCGGATAGACATTATAAACTGAGGTCCTGTGTTGCAGTAGGTTTCGCAGGAAAAGGGTCCCTCACTAGACAATGGTCCTGAGTGCTGGGTGTAGATATAAATTCCTAGCCCTCCAGGCCTCCATTGGAAAGTAGTGACATCTCCATAATTATGAGTGAAAAAGTCTGAGAGGGACACATTAAACAACAAACAATCATCACATATTTCAAGTAATTCTTTGAATCTTGGATGAGTCCAGCCTGAATATGGTTTTTCAAACCAAAGTCTTGTAAAAAATATAATGATTGCATTTACTAAGTGAATTTACCTTTCACTTCTTTTGATGTCAGGAAAATGTATGTAGCCATTGTATATGCAGGCAGAAAAAAGGACCAAGAAAGCTAAAGGGAGTTACAATGTGGACAGCGGGTGCTATTCATTGTAGAAAACCAGCAGTAGTTGCATATCTTGTGTCCACACATGTATTTCACTTTTACAACGTTCTTAACCATTCGCTTACATTGTACGCATTTCTGAAAATCGTTCAATGGCCGCAGTGGTCTTCTTGGTGACCGTGAGCTCACCATGGAAACATCTTGATCAGTAGGAGTGTCGTCTGCTTGTTTAGCATCATCATTCTCTAAGCCTGTTAATTTTCCGATCATGATTTGGATTTGATCCATGTTAATTTCTCCTGGAATGAAATCTACGTTTCCTTTGAAAGGGACATCATTTGGAACTATTTTGTTTAGTATTGATGAAAGTCGCGTTTCCATTTGGATTGTCTCAACATCGCTGGCACATTGAAGAGTGCTTTCCTCTAACTTTGAAGCTACCACCTCTAATTCAGCAATATCTTTCTCCATTGTCTGTACAGTGTCCTCATTTTTCCTCAGATCCTCCTCGCAAGAACTCAGCATTGCTTGACTGAGCTCAGATACTTTCGCAACCATCTTGTCTCTCTGGGCAATGATTTCTTCCATTTTCTTTTTCCGTTGCTTCGAAACTTTTTCCTTTTCCGTCCGTGATTTCTGTAAACATGTCTGGAAATTGGGAAGGTGAGTTTTGACAATATCTTTCCTGTACTTTGCCAGTTTTTGTCGCATTATTTTACCAGCTTTGCGGAGCTGGATCCATTCATGTTCCTTATGGTCGGTTCTAATACACTCGGAACATACCGATGATTTACAATCATTGCAAAACATAATGAACGTTTCTCCTTCGTGATATGTGCAAATTTCGGACGAAATGGGGTCTTTCAATTTGAATTCAATATTCTTCGGAGTATTTTCCTTTGAAGACAGTGTTAGACTTTTCAGCGTCACTCCGCTTGTCGTAATATTGTGCTCTTTGGTCGATTCCTCTATGTCATACACGGTCTCTTCCTTATTTTTAGTCTGACTTTGAATCCCACTATGCTCTCTATCATCGGTCATGATCTCCTTGAAATCTTCGGGCACGCCCGGAGAAGGTTCCTCGACTTTAGAATTTCCATCTTCACTCTGAGCTACAATATCTTCCCTCTCTTCCTGAGATTTCTCGGAATTTTCACTCTCTAGATTTGACAGTTCTTGCTTATCTTGAATGTCGATTCTTCCTGGAGAATTTTCCTGCTGCTCTTCGCGAGTTTTTGGCTTTAATTGTTTTGTTAGCATTTTCTTGGAGCTATCTCTTATGATATGTTTCGGTTTTGGAGTCGGTAACGTAATTGTGGGTCTAGACGCATACGGAGATTTTCCAATCTTCCTCGTGTCTGGTCCTGAAAATGACCCTTTCCTTGAACTCATTTTACTTTGGGCATTTACTGCAAGAGAAACGAGAATTAGAAAAATAGAAAATGCACGAAGAATTGTCTATAACACTCCCGTTCAATAAATGTTTTGAAAAATGTCCCTGGATAAAAGATAATAGAGCCACTCATATGAATCGTTCCATTTCAAACGTACATACATGTATACTCAAATTAATGTAATATTGTTTTATTTTTTAAAAAGCGATCATGCCAAATTTATTCAATTATTTTTAATTAGTTATTTATTTTCTATTTTGATTTTCAATGGAGGATTCGTTTCTTTATTTTGCGTATTTTTTTTTTTCAATCATTATAATCATTATCAGTCTGATAAAACGGGCCTCCTTCCGTGGGAAGGGGATGATTAGTGGTGGTTGTAATCAGAGGAATGTTTCACAAAAAAACTTACTACTAAGACAAAAAATAAGTTGTTTGTAATTTTTTTGGCAAAATTAATGATCCTTTTTCATATTGCATAGTATATAGCGTATTCTTGAATGTCTTTATAAATTCCATTTTAAAATTATATTCAACTTAATGCATACAAGAAATTTAAAATCAGAATTCAATTTTGGTCATAGTCGTAAGTTCTTTTGTAAAACGGGCCCCAGACTGATAACGTTTTCATTCAAGAAAATTTACTAAATCCGGAACAAAATTGATTGTCAAGGGTTTTGAAATTAGCGAACGAGCACCGGTTTCTTGTATGATTTACGAAAAGTAAACAAAGATAAAATTGACGCAGATTGAGGCAATATCAGATGAATAATTTAAGTTTGCAACATGTAAAAAATGACAGGAGAGTTATTTTCATAATAATACTAATGTGAGTGGTATATTTCTTGTAATTCTTGTATATATTAGCGGCACGTTACTCGGTGTTTTGCAAAAGTCAGAAAGTAGGTCACATCTTCAGATCTTATCAGTGTGGTTTGGATCTGGGTGCATACAAAAGAAAATGGAATCCAGATATGATATAGATGGTATTTAGTAAAACAATTTTCAACTGTAAATCATTACTCTTGTAGTGTAAATGTGCAGTCGAGACTGCCGCTCTGTGTTTACAGGTATTTAAAAAAAAAGATTAAAAAATGTGTAAATTATATATATTTTTTGCTCTATACAAAAGATTAAAAAAGTATTCAAAGTGTGTTTTGTTATCTCGAAGTCAAAGGGGAAGAAAAAAACTCATTGACAAGATAACCGACGATTCATGATTGCTGAGGAATAGGAGTTCCAAAAAGACCTGGACATATCCAAGTGTTTGAGTTATCAGTGTTCAGGACACTAATTCATTTAAATTGTTAAAACCAACAATTATATACTCAACATTTGATTTTTTTTTTGCTGTCTATTTTTTTATTCTCATATTCCCTATGCAATTTCACTATGTTACAGTAGTACATATACATGTACATGTAAGTATTTCTCTTAATTTGTATATTTCTATTGTGACTGTATGTGAAAATTGCATTAAATACAATTTCACATTTGGCTTAGCAAAAAAGCTGCAAATTTAAATATTCACAATGACAAAAAAAGATCTTTTCTTCAGGAAGAATGGGAAGCAAAACAGTTACACTGTTAAAGAGACTGTTGCCTTATGATCCACCAAGATGGGCACAAGGCCTCAAGAATATTCCCAGAAATCTGATACGGGTAAGATGCAGTGAAGGCTTAGAAATTAGTTCAAGTTTTTGGCTCAATCAGGGACTTATATACTAGATAGTATATATGTACCTAGCTCATTATGCAGTGACATTTTTATATTTTAATCATGAAGTTTGAGTTAAAAAGAAAAAAACACATAAATTTTGCAAATCAGATGATCAACAAATAAGTTTGTAGGCAGATTTTCAACAAAAGAGTTGTATAATTCTAATTTTCATAAATGTTAATGTTTGTCATTTATAAACACTCCATAAGCACAGCATTTGTGTTATATTATTATGTATTAATATACCATTAGAACCAACTTTTGTCCTTATTGAATTTAAAGCTGAGCCCAAGAGATGATGATAAGGTGGGAATGATAAACCCCTGGAACCTTCCCAGTATTCCAAAGCAGTTTGAAGTTTTTATCAGACGAGAGGATGCTATTGGTGCAGCCATTTCAGGAAACAAGGTACATGTATTTAGATTTAATGTTAAATGACCTTACTGGAACTTTTTAAAGAGCATAATGAATTAAATGCACCTCAGCATCCTGGTCTCTATGTATGTAGAATAACAGGACTTAAGATGTTAAACATGGTTAAAGTGTCAGAGTTGGTTATTCCAAATATATTATGAATTTTAAACCTCAACTTCCAATTTTCCAAGTCCCAAAAATATCTCCATTTTTTGACAGTCCCAAAGTGGACACATTGGAGATATCAAGGGTTTATCATTTTTGGTCAAATTATTTTATGAAAACACTGTTTATTTTTCCTTTGCATTCAGATTTTATAAAAACGTTTTTTTTTTTTGAAAAAATCATTTGTAGTTAAAATTAATTTGGAACATCAAAACTAATTCAGCAAACAGAAAAGTTCTTTTTGTTTTATAAGAGATAGTGCTGACATACTGTCTGTAAAATGAATTTAGAAATACTTTAATATGCTGTTATAAAATTAAATACCTACAGGTCAGAAAACTTGAATTCCTATTGGCTGATGCGATAGAGAAGGGTTGCAAGCATGTGATTACTTGTGGTGGAATTCAGTCCAATCACTGCAGAATCACCGCATTGGCCGCCAGAGAGCTGGGGATGACACCTCATTTAGTGCTGAGGGCAAATATTGGGGTAAAACAAAGAATTATTATTAAATCATTTTCCAAATTTCTTACAAATGACTAGAATAAGAGATATTGAAAGAACATTACTAGTTTTTCTGTACTCAGTAATAAAATTGAATAATGGGAGGAGGGGCTTAACAGAATATCTTCTCTTTGCAGAGTGAATCTGATGTTGGTTGTGAAGGCAATGTATTGTTGAATAGAATGTGTGGTGCTCAAATGTACATGGTGCCAAAATTATCTCCCTACCTCTCAGAACTGAAACCAAGAATGGAGAAACTTGCTGAAACCATTAGGTTTGTACACTATTGTACTTATGCATGTGATAAATTACATTGTACATTGTACAAATACTCATACAAGTAAGAGCTTCTGCTAACTATGCCTTTAATACTTTAGCTTGCAGTTAGGTATTACTAAATTGATATACAAGCATATCTTGAAGTGCAGATTTAACATTTCAAGTTGTAGTTTGCAGAGTTTGATTAGGCCCACAACTGGGGAACATAGTCTTACAAGTTACATACTGCATTAATTGCAAAAATAGCAGTGCCACAATCTGCCTCCAGGGTTAGAATAGGACCAGACATGATTACAGTAATTGTAACCATTTACTTTAAGTCCATAAGAATGGATTTCATTTATGTTCATAATCATTTGTCACATTGAATAATCATTTGTCACATTGAATCTAATTAAGATTAGATGTTAGATCTCCTCGCATACTTGGTACACTAACATCTAACAACATCCCATAGAGGGTCATGCCAGAGGTCAAAATCGGAACAACTCCAGACTTATTCACTTCAAAAAATATACAATGAATCTGCAGGTGACAATTTGATATGTTTGATAGAATTTGACCTCTGACATGACCCTCTATGGGATTTTGTTGCATGTAGGTAGCAAGTATGTGAGTGGATCTGACATCTAATTTTAATCAGATTGCATTTGTCAGATAGTATAAGTGACTGGATGAGTGTAGTGGCTCATAAAACTCTGCATTTTCTTCTACAGAGAGAAGACAGGAGAGGAGAGCTATTTGATACCTGTGGGTGGATCCAATACTTTGGGAGTGTTTGGCTTTCTTACAGTGTTTGAAGAGTTGTTGCCTCGTGTAAGTATCTGTAAGTATTTAAAGTATTAAATCACTTTTCATTTTACTCTCCCGGATTATAAAGACTACTCCATATTAAAGGATTGAAGTTTGGTTCACACATCTTAATTTTGCTTAAAATCTTAGGTAGATGTAGAGGAAGATATCTGGATCTAATTCAATTAATGAGAGGCAAATTAAATTTACTTGTTTTACATCCTAGTGACCATTGTTTTATGGAACAATTTCTTGAAATGTAACAATTTCTTCTAATGTACATGTAACTTCTTCTAATGTACAATCTCCTGCAATATGTAACTGCTTTTATTAATACATGTTATTACTTAAACTTGTAGATACCATGGATCACAGATATTGTGGTGGCTTGTGGTAGTGGAGGGACTGTTGGTGGACTATGTATAGCCAATCATCTCACAGGATCAAAGGTCAAGTCAGTATCATCATAAAAGATCAAAGGTCAAATCATTACTTGTAACATATTCATCTTACAGAATAAAAGGTCATGTCTTTGATTTTTTCATCATATAACAGTCAGTGTCATTATAAAAGATCAAAGGTCAAATCATTACTTGTAACATATTCATCTTACAGGATAAAAGGTCAAGTCTTTAATTTTCTCATCACATAAATCAAGTTAATACATGCATCATATATACAAAGCAAAAGGTCAAGACATTTACTGGTAGCATATTTATTTTGTAGGATCAAAGGTCAATTCAATATGATTATACAAGACCAATGGTCAAGCAGATTCATGTTACAGATTTAAATGTCAATTCATTAATGATTTCCTCACAGACAATCAAAGGTGAAGTCAGTGTTAGATCAAAGTTCAAGTTACAAAGTTACACATTTATTGACAAAATCAAGGATAAAGCCATTAACACACTTATACAAGGGCAAAGGTCAAGACAAAATCATCATTTAAGATCAAAGCTCAAGTCACTACATGTACTTG